CACAGAAGCCTTCCACTATATATTTTCAATATAGATTTTTGGTATGGTTGTTTGTGATTTAAAAAAAGAAAAAGAAAAAATGTACCCCTAGATTTAAACGAGTAACGTGCATGAATCCATATTGCCACCCGAAAAAAGCATGAATAATATCTCCGAATAATAGTACGGTCTTATTTTGAGGAATGAACATATGCAGGAAACTTGGAAGAAAGTTCGGGGAAATAATTAACGCCTAGCAGACAAATTTATTGCATTTTCAACAAATGTATAGAATCTGAAACCAAAGTGTGCACGTCTCCTAATTAGTCCTAATTAAATTAAAGTCTACATTACCGAATGAAGATGCAGTGACCATAATGTTTGGTGATGCTCATGGTTTTCAAGTTCCAGGCAATTAAAGAGTCAGCTGGTTGGTATTGATCATTCAAAAGAAAAAAACTTTGTTGCGGTTAATAATAAATATTGTGTTGATTCAAAGATTCTTCAACTTTATTTTTTCTTTTTCTTCTATTACCTATGGAAATCTCCACGAATGACAACTTTTTTATATTTTATTGAAGAGATATCTCAATAACAACTGTCTTCGACTGAACAAACATATATATATATATATATATATATATATATATAACATGAAACAAAAAGAACTATCAATAATCTATAATCTTGCCATTTGGATTTTGCTGCCCAAAAGTGGTAGCATAATACGTAATAACCTCTTTCACCACGGCAAATATGTGACTACGAAATCTTGAATTCTTGGTTTTGTTAAGACCAAAAAAATTCGAACTTGTTTAATTTAAAATTTTCTCAAGTTTGCTTTCACACAAGTCAGAGCATCTCGTGAAGAATGAGTTGAAAATATCCTGGTCTATATTAATGAAGGCCTGAAATTTCCATAGCAACTTCAAATTAAGCTAGATTAACGAGGTCTGCCATTTTGACCCTATATAGTTCAAGAAGAAAAATTGAGTAATTTTTTTTTTTTTGGTTACAACAAAACTTATTCAACTGCAAATTGGTATACATTAAAAATAAAATTAAGCTACCAAATGCAAATGTCAAATGGTAGCTTTCCACGAAATTGTTTGATTTATGAAAAGTTAATTAAGCCATTACTCAAACCACATATCATTAAATCATCCATGTACGTACAATGATATAACTTTATGTTGTAATATCTAATCCCTCTTTAGGGTTCCTAGTGTAGAGCACTTTTTGCTAAGGTTAAATTTCTTTAAATACAATGTAGTTTAATAACGGAAATACTTTACAAATTTATTTTCATAGATTACACTTTATATTTTATATATTTAATTTTTATTTCAAACAATTCTGTAATATCTAATCATCCATGCACGTACAATGATATAACTTTCAGTTTTGATTTAAACTTGTAATTTAAAGTGATAAAATTATTACAAGTTTATCATTATATTTTGATAATAATTAGAATACTTTTTTTAACCATTTCTACCTTATAAAAAGAACAAGAAAAAAATTAGCCATTTAGATTGCAAATTTGACCATTTGATGAAATCTTAATCCCTATAAAATTACATAACATTTAAGAACAAAAAAATTCATTTCAAAACACTCGAAATTTCAACCATTTATAAACAAAACATAATCCTCATTTTTTAATGTCAACTTTATCCTACAACAATGAAATCACTTTTCAAATACCATCAATCAATAAGGCTTTTCTCGGATTAAAATTCAAGAACATTAAGTGCAAAAGCCGCAATAAACATGTCTCTTTTAGGATCTTAGAAACCGATAAAAGCAAAAATATATTGTTCTACGGGTGTGATGACGGGTTTTGTGAAAATTCATTAATCAATTAGTGTGAACCTATTTACAATATGGATCAAGAAAACAGTTGAGGGAACAAAATTAAAATCTAATCTATTGTGGATGAAGTTTACAAAGATGAACCAAGAACATTATGAGTGACACCTCATCTCTTAGAAAGTAGTAACAAGTTTCAAGTATCTCTTAATAGCTAACATAATATGTGCAATACTAATGTATGCATTTGTATTAGTGTTAGTAGTGAATAACTAGTAAAAGAAAGGCTTGTATTGTTGATTACAAATGCCATGCAATGCTAACAAGAAAGCTTACCCATACTGTCCATTAAGAAAGCTAAATCAAAACCAATGTGAATGTAGAAAAATTCACAAGCAATCTGAATGTAAACAAGAAACTAGAATCACATTAATTGACATTTTCAATATATAATTAGCATGATTAGTTCACTAACCTACTAGTGCTTACCCATACTATATATGAAACTAACAAAAAATGAATATTTACACCTTTGTGTATCCTACGAGTGAGGTTATAAAATATAAGTGAGGATATTATAAATCATATGTGGCAAAAGAAGTTGTTATATATATATATATATATATATATATATATATATATATATATATATATATATATGTGTGTGTGTGTGTGTGTGTGTGTGTGTGTGTGTGTGTGTATGTGTGTATGTATAACCATCAAACCAATTCATCAAAACTACTTGGAACAAAATGAAGTCAATATTCACATTTAGCAAAAAAAATTTTAAGTAATCCTAGCATTGTTATTTTGGTAACGCAATTAAGAATTATTATTATTATTATTATTTTTGAAATTGAATTGATAATTTAGTCTAAAAACATTTTTACAAATTATTAGTTATCATTTGTGGTTAACTATTTATTTGGATTCAAAAGATTAATGTTGAAATAATTTGTAACTAATTATTGACTACAATTATCAATAAAATTTTACAACTGATTAAAATTAGTTACAAATTATTGATTTAGTTATAAATAAATAATATTGAAAAAACTAATATATTTATTAATGAATTAATTAGTTTTAAACTTTTCACAAATGATTGCAGTCTTATAATAATAATTTTCAATCATTTAATTATAATTTAGGTGATGTTTAGGATAATGGTAAAAAAATAGAAATAAATTATTGAAATATTTATTATAAAAATAATTTGAAGGGGTAAAATGGTTTTTTAGAATATTTAATGTATTATAAATCGAAAAATCAAATGTCGGTAGAAATAGAGAAAAAAACAATTAAATAATTAATAATAATTGATAAGAAATAATTGAAAATTAATTTGATATATTTTAAATAAAAAGAAGATAGAGAAAAAAATTATTAAAATATATCGAGAGAGAGGTGAGTAACATGAGAGCGGAATAACTCGAGAGAGAGAGAGAGAGAGAGAGAGAGAGAGAGAGAGAGAGAGAGAGAATATGTTTTTCTCTTTTTTAACTCGAAAAACACTTTTTCAAAAATAGCCTATCAAATTTCGTTGATCTGAAAATCAAATTTATTGACTTTTTTCCTAAAAGCAAAACAAACATCGTAAAATGAGAAAAAATGGAGAAAATAAGTTCCAATAACTTATTTTCTCCAAAACAAACACAGACCTAAAAGAGTTAAAAACAAACTTGTCACTTAGTTTTTGAAAGAGATTAATAATTTTAAAATATGCATTGGTTTTTAAGAAATGGATAGGAATTTGTTATGTTTAAGAGAGGATAAAAATCATTCAAAAACATTTATTTTTAAAGACTCGTTACCTTATTATGTTTCTATTCCTAAATTTATTTCTTGTACATCGTTGTTATTTCTTGTGAAGGATTATTTTCTAAACTTATTTTGTCAATCCATTTTAAGTCATGTCAATGTGAATTTGAAATTAACATTAGGGATTAATCCTTCACACTTGTTTAGTTGAGTCTTTGAAACTAAAAATCAGCAAGGTTTGAAAAATAAGTTTTAAAGGCATGTTTCCATTTATTTTTTTATCGGGTCTAATTTTTTTTTAAAGATTTTTTTATTTTTATTTTTTGCATCACTGAACCCAATGAAAGGTTTTAGACGAATCGATCGTTGCTACATGACATTGAATGGGACTCCCGAAAAATTTTAGTTTTCGCATTCGCATGGTATTTGTGAGTTATTCCGGGGATGCAAGTTATGTATTGTATTTAGAGTCGTCACCTGGTATTAAAAGAATTAACAACCTTAAAATATCACTCGTATAGAGATTCTAGAATAAGGAGTTGGTTACGCTTTTAAAAAGATATCGATCATTCAATAGCATCTTTTCCGAAGAATGGTATCATATCTAGTTTAGTCCTAAATTCATCTTCTAAAGCATTTTATTTTGTGCTAAGTTATTTCAAAATTATGTTCCAATTTTCAAGTTGATTTTTTTTTTTAAGGAAGTGACATCGTATTGAAACGATTATCAATCTTTTACGTCGAGTAACACATTGATTCAAATATCGGATCCGCTTCAAGCCTTAACGTAACCGGTGCGTTAGAAAACATCCTAATTGTTTGAATGCTGAAGAGATATTTTTGTTAAACTAACAAAAGTCCATATCACATAGAAGACTTTGTTAAAAATATTTATTGTTATTATTTTTTTCTTTTCATTTTTTGTTAATAACGAATTCCTATCGGATAAAAGACTTTGTTAAGAATTTTACTTTTTTTTATCAATGGAGAATCATTATTAGTTCCTAAACATTAGGAGACTTGACAATTCGCTCACCATTTGGTTATCTAAACTAATTATGGAAATAAAAAATTTAAAATTAAAGCAAGCCTTCTTATTTTGTTTATATTTTATTTTTTATATTTTTTTGTCAATAATGAATCATCATCTATCTCTAAAAATTAGGAGATTCAATAGGAGATTCAACAATTCAACTATCACTTGATTATCTAAACTAATTATTAAAATAAAAATTCTAAAATAAAAATTAATTAATATTAACTAAATAAAATTCTAAGAAAACTAGAATATTAAAATTCAATTTAGAAAGAAAATAAGCATGCATAAGTAAACAATCAAGACAATATTATATAAAACAAGATAAAAAAAAATTAAAAAAAAACATTAGGAATTTTTTTGGATGGGCTGTGGACCCATTGGGCCAAGCCCATTGAGTTGGCTCTTTAGAATGGCCTGCCAGGTAGGCCATTTAAGCTTTATTATAAGGGTCTGGGCTGGCCCAGCCCAACCTTGTGGGACGTGGGTTAGGCGAAAGCCCAACCCATCATTTTTTTTAACTAGTCATGGGCTGGACAAGTCCAGCCCTTTCTCCATTTTTCACAAAATTAAACCCCAATCCCTGCAACAGCAAAATTATATATCTTCCCTCTTCTTCCCTTCTCTGCCTCCTGGTTCCTTTTTTTAAGGTGATTGAAGAGGAGCAGGCGCTGCTGGGCGCACGGGCTGCTACTGGTAGGTGTGAGGAGCAGTTGTGTGTGCGTAGCGTGAGGGAAGCTCACGAGCTACTACTGGTAGGTGTGAGGTGCCGCTGGGCACAACTGGCGTGCGAAGGACAGGCTTGCAACAACTAGGGCATGCAAGGAACTTTCGGTAACTGGCAGTCACGTATGAGGAGGAGCTTGGCAGCAACTGGCACGCGCAAGGAACTTACAGCAGGTGATTGTTCGCGAGGAGAAGTTGCTGTTTGGAAGTGCTCGCGCATGAGGAACTGGCCAGCAGGGTCGCGCGCAAGAGCTGCCAGGAGGATCGGCTGCAATAGGGACGCATGAGAGCTGTGAGGAGGAGCTGTCGTGCTAAGGGGACTGGCATGCAACTGAGACCTGGCTTATGGTGTCTTCTGCGTGCGCGAAGCTTCATAGCAGTTGTGGGGGAAGGAGCTACGCGCAAGCTTGGGGCAGTAGCTGGTGCAAAGGGAGAGGTTGCAGGTGAGATAAGGTGGCTGATATGGCTGTGGGTGGCTGTGGTAGCTTGTAAGGAGGAGGAGTTGCGGGTTGTCTTGTGGGTTTCTGGAGAGGGAGTTACAGCAGCTAGGGAGAGAGAGACGGCTGGGTTATGTTTTTTTTTTTGGTCTCTCCACTGAAGGGTAGCGGCTAGCTCTTTTTGAGAGACTATATCTCTACGTTTCGTTTTGTGGGATAGGAAATTATGGAGGTTGTGGCTCCTTTTTTTGCTGCCTTCGAAACATTAAGGAAGATGTTGCTTTTATAGGGGAAAAAAATTAGGGTTAAGAGGAATGAGTCTTTTTTTTATATATACATATTTTTGTATTTTGAATTATATATATATATTGATTGTAATTTTTTTTTTTTTTAGTTTTTTATAAATTTCAAAACAAAGTAGAATGAGATAAAATAAAATAAAATAAACAAGAAACAATTAAAACAATAAAAATATTGAAAAATTTTGGGTCATGACGCCTACTAACCTTGTAAAGTAAAGCTTAAAATTAATTATTATAAAAATAACTTCAATTATCACAAACTCAATGGGTTGGAAAGTATTCAAAAGGAGAAAATAGAACTCATAAAATTATTTATGGAATACGTTCAAGTAATTGAGATCTGCAGTGAAGCATCTCGCCCATTTAAAGTCGGATCCAAGAAAATAGAACTCATAAAAAATTATATATGAGGAAAAAAATGCATCGACATGGGAATGCAAAATTTGAAATGTAAATTAGCACAACATGGTGCAAATAAATAATTAAGAACATTAATGAATGAAAATGTAATTTTTTGCATCTTAATTGAAATAAAATTAATTGTAGACTCTCATTAAATTGTCATGGAACTCTAAAAATAAGAGTCTTATCAATCTAATAGCAAATCTAATTAAATTTTTTATATAAAATTCTACACATAAAATATTACGAACAAAGACATTAATGAATTTTTTTGTGCAATAATTAAAATATTTAATTTTGGGTATATGTTGATTTATTAAAAAATAATTGTAGAATCACATTAGGCCAACATATGACCCTAAAATAAAAATCTCGTTGGCTTAATGTCCATCCAATTAAACTTCCTATATAAAGCCTATAGGGTTTACACCATAATTGGTTCCTACATAATTTTAATTTTTTTGATTGAGACCCTCTAATACTTTTCGGCTTGATTGAAACCTTCTACTCTTATAAATTTATTGATCGAGACCCTCCGTTAATCGTAAATCAAGCGTGACACTTTTTAAATGATGATAATCAATAAGAGATTGACACGTGGACATGTGGATCCTAGTTGTAAGTTTATAATTCTAAAAACCAAAACTTATAAATTTGAAAAATAAGAAATTGTTATTTTACAAAAATAAAAATAAGAGGATGAAAATACCCCTAACATATTATCCGGTAAAATCCCTAAGTCCCAAATTGTTATGTTGTATCAAAATCCCTAAACTCTCGACTTTCCCTTCTTTTTTAGTTACTCGGTAAAATCTAATATAATTCTCTCATTTTCTTTGTAAATTGCAACTCATCTCTTCTTCTCCATTGTTCTCGCAATTCCAATTATCTCGATTCTCTCATTTCAATTGTTTCAAAATCCCTAAATCTTAAATCTTCAATTTTTGAAATCCCTAAATTGAAACTTTCGTTCATCTTTTGCAATGTCTCGTAATACGAGAAGACATGACCACTTTATCCACATCATCTTCATCTTCTAAACATTTAGATGTATCACAACTCGTCAATATGTGCACTTGGTGATTAAGAATTACGATCGAGTGATGAAAAACCATTGATTATATGTTTCTATGGGATGAAAACAATGAAGGTATTGTCTTGGAGTGATGAACACCCAAGTGTTAGATTTAATGTTTGCCCATTGCGATTCAATACAAAAGGAACAAAAAATGTTGGCTATAGTTTCAAAATGTGGTTTGAGGATGATTTAGATTGCAGAGCCAAAGAGATTGTTTTTGGGCTTGTGAAATTGGCAAAAACAATTACATGTAATGAATTGTAGGTTGGTTGCAAAGAATTTGAGATTGAATGAGGTGATTTGTAAGTTAAAAAGTGAGAATTCTCACATCAAGAGCGAGAATGAGGAACTGTTGATTGAAATGAAGACCGTTAGAGTTCGAATGATGCCTATAATCGAGAAAAAGAAGAAGAGAAAGACTTGCTATTACCGGAGATTGCGGACTTGAAGTTACTCGTGTAGTGATTTAATATTGTTTAAGAGTAGAATATGTCTTTTACTTAAATGTATTTGTATAATATTTGTCATTGTGATTGTAATGTTTTAGGTTTAAAATGAATTTAACAATTTTTGTAAATTTGTTATTGATATGATTTAACTTATTACCGTAAGTTATTACAATAGGAACTAGAATTGCATTTGCACCTCTTATTCTTGTTAGCATATATAGATATGTTACTAAGTTGAAAAGGAAAAATTAGTGAGTCAAGTTTATTGAGGATTGAAAGGGTGAAGAATTGATATTGATGGTGTAAAAGTTAAGCTTTAGTCACCATTGTCATTAGTTCGCATTTGGTTGAAAATTGGTTCAAAGAATGATAATGTAAGGTTTAAAGAATTGAAGCCAAAGCTTATGAATTGCTACACCGATCTATTCCAAGAACCTTACAGCAAAAAATAAAAAATAAAAAAATAAAAATAAAATAAAATAAAATAAAATTGAGTACTATTTTGTTTGTACTATTTTGTTGTTATTCGGACAATGCCATTCAAAAACCAGACCTTATTTGATGAGTATTGTTTGTCACTAGGACGAGTAGATTCATTAAGCATAACCATAGACATTAACTGGGACAATAGATTCATTTTACAAAGAAAGCAACATTGAAATACGTAGTCTTGTTTATAACTAGGTAAGTTCATTAATTTAATGAAGTAAAACATCAATAAATGAGATTTAATGTTATCGGTAGGTTCTTTTAATGTCTATAACAAATAGAAGAACTTCTTAATCACACCTAGAAATATCCCACATTATCTACATATGAGAAAGAAATGTAATCATCAAATAAGAGAAAGAAACGAAACTAAATAAACATAGAATTATACATGACATTAAACAAGTATAGTCGGGAAATGCACTTCGATAGTATTCCTTATAAATAATTAATCAAGTTTTAAATAAAATCCTCAAAACATCAATTTCTTTTGGAACCACTAGCAAGCACGACTTTGTTTTACAATCCATGGTCTTGTAAATCTCTTAATTTCAATAGCATCAACATCTAAATTTGGTTTTTTCTTTGTTACAACTGCATTCTAGTTTGTTACAAGCACCTTTATGATTTGTTGTAGGAGTATCATTAACCTTCTCCTTGCCTTTACTACTCCTCAAAGTTGGACCACCACCATCATCAACTTTTTCTTTATTCATCTTGACAGTGGCATCATTTCCTTTTCTCTTATGAGAAGATTCAACTACAAATTCTTATTTTTTCTTTCCCTAAATGCGAAAAAATTTCACATAAGGTTATGAATATAAACAAACACAAAACAAATCATATAATTTAAACCATCCAAGAATTTACACGATGAGTTAAAACTCGGTTCAATTATAATAGAACCGAAGTTGGAAGCATATTTAAAAGGACCATGTTCAACCATAACATTAGCTGATCCAAGGGTTATTAATCTAGAACCGTAAGCACCATCAACATCCTATGAACAAGATTTAATCAACTTTACTATAGTATATGAGATGGATAAAACTTATATATAACTAAAATATAAGATATTTGCCTTTTTTCTTAGGATTATCGGGACATGTCAATATGTTGTGTCCTTTCTTAAAGCAAATTTCATAAGTCATCATCCTTTCTTTTCTAGACATGTTAATTCCATTTGATGACTTTCATGATTATAAGATTCTTTTTCTTTTCTTCCTCCTAGATAGTTTCACAATATCGGAGCGATAACCTCTAGTTTATTTATCCCGAGCCAATACTTCTCACCGTTGGTAGGTTTAATAGAATTCTTATATGCATTGATAAACATATCTTTTAAATACTAATGAAGAACATACCTCTCCAATCGCCACTTCCTAGCAACACAAACAGACTATAGCATGCGGATATGGTATAATAGTCATCTTAAATAACCTACACGTGTATTGTTTTTTCTCCATATGCACTATTTATTTATCATTATAATTGTAAATGTTAATAGCCTCATACCCATCATCACCATTATGCAAGACCCTAAATTTTGAAATAAGGTCTTTTTATTCTTTTATCTTTTCCTAAATCCTAGGGCCAAAGTTTCCCTTAAACCTAACAACAAACATTCTCCTAGCAACTCGTTATTTTGACTACAAACTCGTCTAATATCCTCTAATAAGTGTGATAATACTCTTGTTTCTTGCTTCTAAAATAAAACCATTTCAAGTTTCACGTATATGATTGTCAACTACATCATCTTTAACATGAGTTTCATAGTATGCCTTACACCATTTTAAGGAACACTCTTTCATGAAGGCTTCAGTGTCGCCTCGCCGTACTTCCCTAGTAGCTCAAGATTCTTTTCCAAGTCTAAGTATCGTGCTTGATTTGACATATATCCAAAACTACTTTTCAACATCTTCTCTAGTATTGTGTCTTCCTCCATTTTGTAAATATGTGTCCGGCACACTACTTATGTTCCGTTCTAGGAACTAATTCATGTAGAGTAGAACATAAGCCCTATCGAAAGAAATAACAAATAATGTATTACCGATATTTAGTTAAAAAATAAGCTAACTTTAAAATTAAAAAATTTAATACTTTATATTTAGTTATCTTTTGCCTATCTCTTGTGAATGTCCATTCATATCCATTACCATATGGAATTCCAAGCATCTTTCATTAAATAACCGACAAACCACATCTAGTTTTCTTTGTTTTCTCATTTCATAATAGCCAAACATAAAGGATACATCTAATTGTTTGCATCTCTACCAATAGCTAAAAAATTCTCCTTTCAAAAGACCCTTCCAAAAAGCACCATCTAACTCTATAATTGGCCTACATCCAACTTTGAAGTCTTCTTTGATAGCATGAAAACACACATACATTCTTCCGAATATGTTCAAACCTTCTTCATCTTCTTCTATCATCAAGAATGA